GACATACTGAAATTGCTGAAGTGTAGAGGAAAGCTAACCTACATTTGCTTTCCGTGTCAATCAGCATGAACAAAGCAAACATTCTCTATGTAAAAAATACCAGTGCTTTCTTTGGTCACTTAATAAAATGCTGATTTAGGGCTTGCACTGGAAGACATTATAATCAAACTACTAATTTTGTTTTATTTTTTCTTCTATCAATAAAAAGTCAGACTTCTTTAGACATTACCAGGGCAGAATTTTGAATAATCATTCATTGTAACCCATGCAAGAATGTGGCAGATTGGTAACCTGATGAATTTAGTATGGGACTGCTTTCACAGTTGTCCCATTTTAGTCCTTACTCTAACTACTCCTGTGGATAAGGAATAGTTGCATGAATAAAGACTGCTCACACAAGTAAAGGTTTGAAGGACAGGACCACTGCATTTATTTTGTATAAAATGTCTTGTCCAGTAGGCCAGAGAAGACTGGGAGGTCCATATGATCAGACTCTACTTCAGATATCACTGGAATTAAACTTCATGGAAAAACAAAGCTTTTACCTTTCCCTCTTCCTTTGTTTGTGTCATCTATTTGTTGCTTTTTGTTTCAGCTAAGGTTCTGATTCTGCAATGAGTCTGCAAAAATGTATACACCTCAATAGGACTACTCATAGTGCATTAAGTTAAGCATGCATGTAATTCTGTGCCAGATGTGGGTTTAAGATTAAGTCTTTGAGACTTTTAAGATTTTAAGGTCTATTACTCTGTGTTTGTACAGCATGTAGCAGAATGGAGCCCAGACTTGATTGGGATCTGTAGATGCTACTGCAGTACAAAGTAATAAAAAGAATATTGAAGAGCGGAGTTCACGTGAGCCCCACCCTCATGCATAATTTTAGTGATTTGCATATATTCTTGTCTGTTAAAGCAAAGTACTAATCTCATGCATTAATAAAACCAAAAAAGCTAAACAAATTTTGCCACCAGATGCATGTATGCAAATCCCATTGAAATCACATTAATCTGAGGGTAGAGTCTAATGATTGGGAATAAATATATTTTTAAACTAAATAACTGGCTTTTCTGTATAAGCCGGAATGTAGAGTATATATAGATTACAGAACTTTTCTTGTTTGAATTTAAAAGCATTCTTTAATATTACACATATTAAGGATAATAACTACCTAGCCTTAATTTCTTTATTAGCATAACTGGTAACACATTAGATTTCAGGGTCCAAATATTGTGTAAATACTCCTTTGTATGATAACTGCAGACCATTGAACTCTATAAAAACTACCATAAAGTGGCAGATTAATTACAGCTCATGCCATTACAGGGTAATGACATGATTATTTCTGTTTTCTAAGTTGCACGCTAAGGTTACATAATATCTCTGGAACTTTTATGTGTAATTATTAATAGCACTTTGTTGTATGTACATAAATACTTTTGGGCCTGATTCAGCCAACCTTACTAACACGTGTAGTTCCATTGATTTTAATAGAACTAGACATGTGAATAAGGATTTTCATTTTAGTAAAGGTTGCAGGATTGAGTCCATAAGGTGTATTTTTGAATAATTAATTTCTGTAGAATTCCAGAAAGAACATTGTTTCAGAAATACTTTCTGTAAAGCAAGCCGAACACTTTGAAGTGGGTGCTATGAGAAGAAGAAACAAACCAAAACCGTGACTCTCATAAACTACTATCTCAGTTTGGAATGGTTCAATGGTTTAATGAGGTTAATTTGTATTAGGTTGAGAAAAATCCTTTATCTACTGTATAGAGGCTTTCGTTTCACATGAATGTGACAGATATTGTACTTACTGCACTGGAACTTAATTATTTGATAGCACAAGGAACTGAAATTCCCACATTTCCTCTCTAGGAACATTCACACTATACTTTAGATGGTAAATAGAAACTAGAGGATAGTTGCCCCAGATTTTTAATGTGTTGAAGAGCCAGGGTAGCCTTTTCTGGAAGGTTTTATTTTTCTACCTCCAAAATTGGAAACAGGTTTTACTAAACAGTCTCTGAAATGCTATAATTGGCATTTGGTTATTTTTTGCTCTAATCTAGTCTTCACATATCACAGCATCTTTTGAAATGCTTTTCTTTTCCATTCATAACCACAAATGATCGTTTCATTTAATTAGAGTACTTTGGAATAAGTACTCTTGGAAAATGCTCCATTTTCTCTCTAATGACTACAAAGTAAAAAATTAGATGTCTTGAAAAGTTTTTGTTTCAGCAGTAATTTTTCCCCTCAAAGCATTTTACAACTTAAATCTACTAACTAGCTTGCATTTCAGATGACTATTGGTGCATGTAGGCGATGCTTTATTTCTGCTTAGAAGGTGTAATATGGAATCTCTAGAGAGCCAGTCAAGCTGTGTAAAACTGTTAAATAGGTGAGCATAGAGGCAAACAAAATTTCAGAATCAATGAGACAAATCAGAATACAAATAAGGACTGAAATCTAATAGAGAGAAAAATAAGCAGGAACAAATTCACAACCTGACACTAAATTTACTTTCCTTTATAGCTTCAGTGTCACGTTTGTTATATGAATCTCATGTCAACTCAGTTAAATGAATTTATGTTAGTGTGTATGGGTTTGAAATGCATAATTGCCTATTATAATAAAAATGAATGTAACTTTTCAGAACAGGTATGTGTGTCTATTCTATGTTCATGCTACATATTATATATAAGAAATATAATGTATAGGTAATTTATTTTACTGTATACCCAAATAAAGATGCTCTATTCTCTATAAACATAAAAGATTAGTTGAGAAAAATATATGGAATTCTTTGAGTCAACATGTTAACATGCAATGTTAACCAATGTAAAATAATTTTCACTGTGGTTACCTTGTACCAATGGGCCTAAAAATATCTGCTTAAAAAAATCTCATGGGTATTGGGATAACTTGCCCCACTAACTTCCTAGAAAAGTTCAGGTAGATAGCATGAGCAACATTCCTCTTTCTCAGTTTTATTAACATTAGTTAAAGCTTTTAAAACAGAGAAAAACATTTATTCAAGTTTGGTTTTTCAAAAGGTGGAACCTCTTTTGAATTTCTCACCTGATATGTCATATATCATTTCAGCTGTAACACTATACAACCTGACACTGTACAATGTGATGCTAAAACTGAAATGTGTAGAGAGTGATTACAATGATCACAAGCTATTTGACTAGCTTTGTTCTAGTGAAAAACATGTGATTGCTTGAATACAATGTTCTAAGCAGTAGCTTCCATTTTGGTAACTAAGAGCCAGATTGTGGGCTACCCCTCTATGGCTGTGCATGGGTAAGAGTGGCAATTAAGTGGTTGCACAGTTTATAATAGTTGTCTTTGCACTCTTGGGAGGGGAGGAATTTGCTTGTTCCTGCTCCCTGTTCTCTCAGGCAGAAAGACTCTGAAAAGGGGTCAAAGAAGAGGTATGGTTATGGCCCTGCTTCTGCTTCTCCCCACCACTGCTCCACGGAGAGGAGCTGGCTCACTGAGGAGAGTATCTGCTTTGTCTTTATGGGTAGTACAATCTCTTTAGTGTTCATCTTGGCTTACTGTGGCTTGGCAATGGCCCCAAGTTAAGGGCGGAAGCTTAAATTGATAGTCTAGTTTCAAGAATATAGGCTACTGGCCAGAGAGGGCAGTGTGCTTTAGAATGGTTATAGATTTCGCATACACTGTAGCATACGAAGAAAAAGCAAAGTCAAAGCTGCTTGTAAAAGGGCCCAGTCCTACATGGCAAGTCTCCCATTAGAGTACCCAAATTTTGTATTTGTTTGCTTTGCCAATTCAGATAACCTTCTGCCGCCATACCAATTTTTGGAATTTAGGTAGGAAGGGGATGGAGAGAGTCTGTATTCTTGATAAAATTTCATAAAATATTTTGCACTTGCTATCTCTCCAGTGCCCCCTCCATGTGATCCAAATAGAGCTGACCAAGGCTGAGGCAGTGTAGACCTGAGGAAAGGAAGAAATATATTTACATAATATTTTCTAGCAGTCTCCCCAAGGTAACATTTCACGATCTCATTTGGGTACAGTACAAGTTCTGTGTTTAGACGGTGACTCTCTGGTGCTTTAGCAGTAGTTTTACGATCTGTCTGTGATCTGCCCTACAATTTCTAGCAGCCACTGGTTCAGCTTGCAGTCTCAGCAAGCTCTGATGAAATGAAAATGATACAATAATTAGTTACTATATCTTAAATAGTTAACCTTTCCCCCAGGCAGATCTTCTCCTGGTTCTGCTGTAGCCTCAGGGCTGCAGTAGTTCCTGTGACCGGTTAGCTGATCCTGAAGCAGGAGAGAATGACTAGTGTGTCTGAGTAGTCATTGATCCACTGCCCCCAACCCCCATGACATGATGGGGGATCATATTCCATGCATAGGGTTCCCAAATCCTGCCACATCATCTTAGTGGATCTGTACCAGTTGACTAGTGAAATGAAAAAAACAAACAAAGAAAAACCGGGACATTTCAGGTGTCTTAAAGGAAGATCCTGGGACATCATATAAAAAACTGGATCTGTCTGGGGACATGTGGTCATCTTACATTTATAATGTATGCATTCCAAAATATATATTCATGCTGCTATTTTAATGTTGAAGCACTTTATTTTCTGAGTGTCGCCCTAAGAAAATATATTAGGTTTATACGGAGATGCAGGTGCCTATGCTAGTCTGAATATATATATATTTTCTATGATGCCTTTTCAGTGCCTCTACATTTTGTTCCACTGAAATGGTGCAATGTGCATTCTTCTCTAATTGTTCTTATTTCACCACACATTTTCTGTCAGAGAGAGTTATGCTCTGTTTAGAAAAGAAATAATCTTTGCACTATAGAGTTGGTGTTATTGTAATTCTAATTGTGTGTATTGCAGATCCCTTTATAGAGCTGAATGTAACGTATTTCTAATAAAAACAAACGCTGTACCATGCTACCTAGCAATGTTATCACCATCATCACCTTCTTCTTTTTGTTTGCACAGCTCACCATGTTAAAACGGGAACCTGTGAGGTGGTGGCTCTCCACAGATGTTGTAATAAGAACAAGATAGAAGAAAGGTCACAGACAGTCAAGTGCTCCTGCTTTCCTGGGCAGGTAGCAGGTACCACCCGAGCAGCTCCTTCTTGTGTTGATGGTGCGATGACTTCACTTACTTCATTTTGTTGTATTTTTGTTGGTGGGTTTTGTAATGCAGTGTCTAAACTGGGAATCTTTCTTTTAAACCAAGCAGTGTTTAAAAGTGTTAGAAAGGATTCTGAGGTTTGAAGGGCATCTCCAAGATGAATGGGAGAGGAGGATAAGAAAAATGAATTATTTGCCAATGCTTTATGGAAACACTATGTGAAATTAGTAGATGACAGTGAACTAGACCTCTTGAGAAGCAAACTGTGATCTAAATAATAGAATGCTCTTAGTGTTGTATCAAGTTAATTTAATTAAGTGTTTATGCATAAGTTACATCAGCATATTATTTTCATATGCTGCAGTATCATACTTTATTTATCTGTTATTTTGCCACAAAACAAAGAAAAACAAACAAGCAGAGCATAGTTTGGCTCGTTTTTAGGTTTTTTAGACCAATGGTGTTTTTGCTATCCATAGTACAATCTTAATATTGCAAACAAAACTGGCATGGGTTTGTATGTTTTATTTGGGAAAATATTGGCTCATTTTGCACAACTCTTTCTCTGAAAAAGGACAAGCCTGTTTCACCCTTTACATGAACTATTTTTTTCTGTGTTTGCTGTCATAGAAGCTGTAAGTATGTCATCTTCAGGGAATACATTTAATCTTACCTTGAATATACAGAACTTCAAACACAATACATTAACTCAAAAGAAGAGATTATGCCAAAAACTTACAAATCTGACCAGGAAAGAAGAATTGGTGATTGAAAAGGATTGTTGTGAAATTTGTTCTTGAAGCAAGATAAATTTAAACAAATGTAACAAACGTAAAAAAAAAAAGTAGTAATAACAATAATAATTAAGAAGAGATGCTGGTGCCAAATTCATACACAGTGCCCTTGACAAATAGAGTCTTATTTATTTAGGAAGATTCTGACTTGCAGTGTAGCTGTTTGTCAACATACTTTTTTCTAAACATTTTGTGGAGAATAAAATTGATGCTGCCATATAATGGGGATGTAAAGTGGCCATTTACTGAACATGTAAATGTGTATGTTTTCCCCTTTCATAGCTTCAATAGTGGAACAGAAATGGTGGTGCCACATGCAACCATGTCTTGAAGGGGAGGAATGTAAAGTTCTTCCGGATCGGAAAGGATGGAGCTGTTCCTCTGGGAATAAAGTGAAAACAACTAGGGTAGGTATAGTACCAGCATCACTTGTTACCAACAGAAAACTAACACACAGGCCCTAAGTAAACACTCAAAAGAAAAGACCCTGGAGCTGTGGGTAAGCAGTTATATTGAGGTGGGTTTCCTGACCCTGTACACTTCCATCAGCATACTTTGCAGTTAATTGATCATAGAGTGCACTGTTCCTGTCGTTTTCAGGTCTGGGTATTGCAGAGAAGAGAATCAACCCCCTTTTCAGCTGCTACTACTACTAATTTATATTTTATTTGATCTGTTTGTCCCTCTATGACTGGTTGCAAAAAAAATAAAGAAAAATAAAATAAAAATAAAGAAGCCAGCACACCCTGCTAATCTCCTTGCAATGTTCCAAATCCATGAGACATTGATTTACAAGGTATAACACAAATGCACTTTTGTCAATTACTTGGAATTATTATATTTTTACACAGAAACTGTTGAATATGGTAAGCATTTACTGTGTCATTACAGAATAATCTTTTGGTTATTTATGTCTGGTAAGACTGAGAATTACTACAAAATTTTGACAGTGGTGCAATATGTTCCATTTCCCATTTGACACTTTTAATATTATTTGTTCAAAATTGTAATTGTACAAATCCATCTAACATTTTGTTTTACATGCTTCATTGAAAACAAAGTAAACCTGTACTTTCTAGCTGCTAACAGAAGCAAAAAAAAAAAAAAAAAAACACAACCCCCAACAAATTACCTAAGATAATGCTAAGCATTAAATACCCAGACTTCTAGAACCCACAACTTCAAATCCCTGCAGATTCAATCCAACTTTTCATTCTTGTGAGGCAAATTAAGGATCCATCCTTTAAATGCACACACAAGAAAATCTTATGTGAGTAGCAATGGTTAAAGTTAGTCATGAATAATTGTTTGCAGGATCGATTCATAACTGGCTACAATGAACTTTACTCTGTGTATGCATTTCTTTGAGCCTGTGACACAGGACAAAATATTTCCCCTCCCCTCATTGTAGCATAGTGTACTATGTATCAACTGGCTACTTCCTGTTTATCCCAGATGTGGCTGAATGGTGTCTGTCTGTATGTCTGAGTTTGTAAAACACTTTGGCATTCTTTGGATGAAAGGTATTTCATTAGTGTAAGTTATTCCATTCTTCCTTCTTAAATCCTTTTTCGAAACTCTAATCTCTGCTTGAGTACTGCCCGCAGCTAAATGTGTGTATGTATATATCTAAGGTGTGCACACACACTCACTCTAGATAAGTATTATGTATGTTGTGTATGTGTGTGAGATATATCCAGTTAGAGGAAAATGATTCAACAGTAACACACTCAAATGAAAAAGAAATTGGGAAAAAATGTGACTAGTTCATGTCTCTCTCCTCTTCTCTTGGCATTTGGCTTCTTCCCCCTACCCTCCTACCATGTTGTTTTGCTCTGTTTACATGTGAATTGTCTAAATTAGATAAGATTTCTGGGCAGGGATTTTTCTCCTTATATATTTGTAAAGTACCATGCACTATATTGTCCAAATACTACAGTGTTAGGTATAAATGTGGTTGTTGTTATTTGTACAATTATATCATTTTGGCAACATTTTTAGCTCCTTGTTAGCACTTAACAAACAATATGTAATAGGTGGGTGGATCATATCCTCCCGCTCTCCTGCCCCCCCTGCTGGTGGGCACCAAACACTTTTAAACCACTCTAGAGGTGCCAAGCTCTATTCATCATCATGCTGAGGCCTACAGGTCCATTGTAATGGATGCTTCAGCCTGATTTCAGCTTGGGGGCAGAACCAGACCTGTCAGTCTGTGGCAGCAGGGGATTTCCTGCCTCCTGAAGTTCCCTCCAGTTTTACCTGTCTTGCCAGTGGCTCAGCCAGATCCCCCCTCTCCCCCTTCTGCAGAGTTTTTCTGAGGGAAATCCCACACTTTATTTCAAGTTTGCACCTAACAATTGGCTATCTGGGCTCTGAAGGGTTAATCCTGCCTCTCTATATACATGAAATTGAATCTTCAGTATCCTTGATTTTGAGAAGCCCTGGAATACCTATGCTGCTACTGAGAGGCTGAATGTCTTCTTTGTCTTAAGAAAGTACCATGTTATCAAAAGTGAATACTCATCCCTAATGTATGGAGGCTGCAGTGTGTATGTAGCTATTGTCTATCCTAAAAGGTTCTAAGTGAAAGGAAAAATTCTGAAGGGTTTGAAACCAGTAAACTCCATATTCAGAGAAAAATAATAGAGACAGCAAAAAATCAGTATTAAGAGAACAAGTATAATAAGCTTTTATTATTGTCTAATGAAGTAGCCCATATGTGATGGTCATGTATAATGTAAAAGCAGCAGGAGCCAAAGGGAGCTAGCAAGTTTGTGTGATTTAAATACATAGCAACTTCTGTGAAAGCCTTGCTAAAAGCAATATAATGCATTAGGTCTCAATTCACCTCTAAACATTGGGTCAAATTTTCCTCTTCAATAATACATGTGAAAAATGTGACCTGGTTGAAGTGTTGTATGTTGTTCAGAGATGCAGATCTCTAAGAAGAATATGTATGAATAATGAATGAAGAATAGCATGAATATTCTGGTACTTAGAATTCAAATCTTAAGGCTATTCAGGTAGATATTATTTACACTAAGAATGAAGAAATAGGCATTATGGAATTATGTTGTAACGGAATCACCATCCCTACAATGTCAGGGTATGGCTAACAGAGAGGAGAGGTTTCAGAGGAACAGCCGTGTTAGTCTGTATTCGCAAAAAGAAAAGGAGTACTTGTGGCACCTTAGAGACTAACCAATTTATTTGAGCATGAGCTTTCGTGAGCTACAGCTCACTTCATCAGATGTATACCGTGGAAACTGCAGCAGACTTTTTCACGGTATACATCTGATGAAGTGAGCTGTAGCTCACGAAAGCTCATGCTCAAATAAATTGGTTAGTCTCTAAGGTGCCACAAGTCCTCCTTTTCTTTTTAGAGAGGAGAGGGCTAATGGGTTAATAAGGAATAATCAGAGAGAAGAAGTAAATGTGGAGAGGAAGAGTTTAGGGGTCTGAACTTACCTCTGATTAACATCTTTTACTCTGTTGGAGTTTATATTTGGAAGGGTGGAATTTCTGTCTCTATATTTAGAGAGGTCTGAGAAGAAAATTGCTATTCTGGCTAAAATAATTATTTATTTTTAGGCAGAGATCTTGTAGTGTATGCCTGCCTAAGCAATGCACTGGAACTGGAGAGGGTGTTTAGAAATAGATTATTAAGGCTATGAAATGAAGACAGAGCAGAGATTTTTCCAGCGATGACATAGGGTCCAGGATGCAGTTCTAGGATTGTGTTAAGGTACAGATGGTTGAATTTTTTGTAACATGACTTTTTTTTCCCCTTCACTTTTTTCCTATTTGTTGACAAAAAGATTTTTTTTTCAAAGCAGTAAACATTTGTATTTCATTTTGAAATATTTTGTTTATAAATTTTTGGCTCCCGTCCCCTTTTCTTAACTTTTATATTTTTTTTCACTGGAAGAAAAAACAAAACAAGAAAAGCAATACTTCCTTTCAACACTTAAAAAAAAAAAAAGCTTTCCCCCTACACTTCTCCAGTGGCGGGGAGAAAGAGAGAGGTGGGAAAAAATGAGAGGGTGAGAATTTCCCCTCTAGCCAGAAAACCAAAAAAATGTATTTGAATAATTTTTTTTGGTGAAAATTTTTCATTTTCAATGAAACCCCATTTTCCAAGACAAAAGCTTTGGTTGAAAAAAACGTTGACTAGCTCTAGTTAGGAATTTCATCTGCCAAAGAAGATCAGCGAGAGGCAAGATTGTTGTCTTACAGTTGGAGAGAGGTGTCTTTGAATTGATTTTGAGTGCTTGGAGCTCCAAAAAGAGAGAGGTTCTAAGAAGGACAAGGGGACTTCTAGTGTTAATCAGACTTACAGAGACTTTGACAGGGGACAACCTCATCAAATATGTTAGCCTGATGCCAGGTGTGAAAGTAACATTCTACACTTACCTTGATTCACACCTGCTGAAGATGTATCCCACAATGCTGACATATAATTAAACTTATTTAATGTGCAAAGTGACTAAAAACAGAGACCTCAGAGCTCAAACCATTATTGCTAATCACTTTATTGAAGGAGCAAGCAACTGAAATCTGACATTGCATAACAAAAAATGCTCACTTGTTCTTAGAAAATCATCACATCAGAGATGTGAGCAATAAAGTCCAGCCATGTATTATTCTCTGAATAAAATATGTAAATGAAGCAATATTTTAAGATATGTAGACATTAGGGCTGTCAAGCAATTAAAAAAATTAATCATGATTAATCCCATTCATTGATTAATCTAGCCATTGATTAAGCACACCGTTAAACAATAATAGAATACCATTTATTTAAATATTTTTGGATGTTTTCTACATTTTCAAATATATTGATTTCAATTACAACACAGAATACAAAGTGTACAGTGCTCACTTTATATTTATTTTTGATTACAAGTATTTGCACTGTAAAAACCAATAGAAATATTATTTTTCAATTCACCTAATACAAGTACTATAGTGCAATCTCTTTATCATGAAAGGTGAATTTACAAATGTAGAATTATGTACAAAAAAAACTGCATTCAAAAATAAACAATGTAAAATTTTAGAGGCTGCAAGTCCACTTAGTCCTACTTCAGCCAATCTCACAGACAAACAAGTTTTGTTACAATTTGCAGGAGATAATGCTGCCCGCTTCTTGTTTACAATGTCTCTAAAAGTGAGAACAGGTGGTTGCATGGCACTGTTGTAGCTTGCACTGCAAGATATTTCCGTGCCAGATGTGCTAAAGATTCATATGTCCCTTCATGCTTCAACCACCATTCCAGAGGACATGTTTCCATGCTGATGACGGGTTCTGCTTGATAACTATCCAAAGCAGAGCGGACTGACACATGTTCATTTCATCATCATGAATCAGATGCCACCAGCAGAAGGTTGATTTTCTTTTTTTGCT